CTTGAAGCATGCCGCCATCAACGAGGGTACCGGCAGTGAGTACGCAAGACAGTTCACGGGAAATAACTTTGTCAGCCTTCTTTCCGCTCCTATCTTGGCGCTCGCGCATTTCCTTTCCAAGATTAGTCTCCATTTGATCGACTCTTGCAACCTTGTACTGCTTTGCAATAAATTGGTTGACCCAGTGATCCAATGAGCTTTCTGGAACCCCGACCATTCGCATATTGACCCTGTCAGTCATCTTGAAGTCGAATTCCTGATGTCCAATAGTAGCGTCGTTCTCATATAGCTCGTAGAACTTGCCCTTTTTGAAGAATACAATTGTATCCCACAGATTCTGTTTAATCTCCCAGTACTGCTTTTCAAAGGGCGAAAACTTGTTCCAGGCCATTGGCGGAATGTAGATGGATCTGGGATCATATTCCGGGTCACTGGGAGCACGCTTCTCCTTGTCCCGAATGTTAGCCAACCATGGGTAGCGATCCTCGGGCTCTTTTGTGTGCGCTTTCTCTTTGCGTTTGGGGTCTTTGGCGGCAGCACGCTCAGCAGGCGTTACGACAGGTCGCTTCTCGGTGGACTCGGGATCATAATTCCATTGTGAAGTGGTTGAAGTTGTAGGAACTTCCGTCATAAGCTCGTCATCTACATCATGGATCGGAGATCCTTGTCTGATGTCTGCGGGTGGTGAGACGTTGGATCGTTTTCGTGCTGTCGCAGCCTTTGCAGGGCGCTTTCGCTTCTTAGTCCGTGGGAGGTCGTCGGAATCATCAGAGGCAATGAAATCTCCCATGTCTGCAAGATATCCATCAGCATCAATCACGGATTCCTAGCCATAGCCCATCCAACATACCATCCTCCTCCTCTTGGGACGCTACGTCGTCTTCGTCAAATTCATCTTCGTCTTTAACAGTCCGACGAGCTCGACCACGCCGAGTTTGAGACTTGCTTGAATAATTGAAGGGCTGTTCTTCATCGGACGATTCAGCATAACTGACAACCTTCTTCGTCTGTGCCAGGATTGTGTGTTAATGGACAAATCAAGCTGTCTGGAGGAGGGCTGTTGAAAGCCTCGTCCCCGCGAAAAGGATCAGAAATGCTCACCTTTCGGGTTGGAGTGCCGCTTTGGACTGCTTTCGGGGTCACATCGTTTGTAGACCTCGTGCGTGGATTCATGGTCGTTGGCGACAGCAGGGCGCTACTGGTGGTCTTGGTGGCGGAAACAGGATCAGCATTCTCCTGCGAACTGGGCGGCTCAATGGCGTCGCTGCTAGGGACAGGCGTAGAGAGCTTCGTCGATGGCTTTGGCTTGGGCAGAGAGTTGGCTTTGGTGGTCTCCTGCAGACATGAAGAATGTTGAGGATCGGGGGAGACCTTGTCACGAGCGGCAGGCGAGGATCTGCCGACGGGTGATGACTTCTGGAAGAAGCTCATGATGGAGCGCTGTTTTGCTGATGCAGAGGCAGAGGCAGAGCCAGTTGGCTTAGGTGCCGGCTTCGCAGGTGTGCGAGCCGTGCTCGAGCTAGCCTTATCGCCTGCCATGGTGATTCTGATTCTCGAGTCACGTCAAACGCTGAGCATCTACAGGCAGGATTGCGAGTGCGAGTCGGGGTGCACGGGAAATGATGCAAATCATCAATTGGATATGCTTGGCAATTAGAAAGAGATGAAATGAATGCAAAAACAAAAACAAGCACAAATAGATACTGGTAGTCTTGAGAAATGGTAATTAAGTCATTGGGATGAGAATGAGAGAATATGATGATAGGAGGCGACTTTAATCCTGGTGGGATATCAGGGACCAATTCGCGTCGCGTAAGGCGCGTCCCGTGTAAAGTGGATAGGAGCCGGGGTTGCGCCTGCCCATTCATCCTCCGCATCGGCGTATAACGCTACCCTGTAGATGTAGAAACCTTGAATGTTGGATGAAAATTAAAAATCTGGTGGCAATCAAAGGCGTACATGGCGCAGATTTGGCTATTCCAACTTTATCACCGTCCAGCTACGTTAATTCGTCGGTTTTTGTTTTAACGACTCTGCCAAACCTGGAAGCCTCTTACAAGAGGTACTAGTCTTCTGGAGTCGGCAAGACAAAATCATCGTACCACGACAGACTCACAACGCACATCTACAAAACCCTAGCAACCCGAATAAAAGCGAATGCTTTGCTAACAAACATCCTCCTCTTTGTATCTGCGCCAAGGTCTGCGCTTCAAACTCGTCGTCTACGGACCTTGCCAAGAATCCAACTCACCCAATTCCCAACGCACAAGAGACACACAAACAACCAATATCGAACCCCAGTGCTATGCCCTGCCCTCAGATTCTTCCGTGACTCAGTCCATATCCGCCTCGCACGAGGCTCACTGATTTGATCATACGCCTCCACCGCCCTGGCCAGCGACTCGTGAGACTGGCACAGCTGTTCCGCCAAATCGCATGCGTCGGAAAGGGCTAGGTTTGCGCCGAAGCCGGCAAAGGGACTCAGGGCGTGGTTGCTGTCGCCGATGAAAACCACGGGCACGTCGGAAATATCGCCGTGCCGAAAGGGCTGCTTGTCTCGGCCGTTGATACACAAGACGGACCCGGGGTCGGTTTGCCTCGTCATTGTAGGGAACGGCTCGTGGAAGATGTGACCCAGCGCGGAGGCCTGGTCGACCACCGCGCGGCGCTCCTCCTTGCCTTGTTCGCGCGTGAGCTCCTTGACGGGCTCCGTTTCTAGGTTGCCGACCGCCCAGATGACCGTGTTCCGATCTACAGGCGATATGAAGCATGTCACGCCCGTGTTGCCCATGACGAAGCCCCAGTCCTTGTCTACCGGGCTGGGAACGCCCTCTGGGAATGTGGCCAGTCCTCCTCGCAATACGGCACCGATGTACTCCAAGTCATCGTGTGGACGGAGCACTCTTCGTATTTTGCTGTTTGCCCCGTCCGCGGCGATCAAGACATCACATTCGGTATGGGTTTCTCCAGCCTCTTTTCCTTCCCTGATTTCCCTCAAGTATACGCGAAGTCTGCCATTGGGAGCCTTTTCAACATTTACGCATTGCGTACCCCATTGGATGCTGCTGTTTTCAAAAGACTCCCACTCGTCTGTTAGAATGCGCCTGAGTTCCTTCCGGACGATGCGAATACTGGGCGTAGGCAGTCCTGCAATCGGCGGTCGCTGTGAACGAAAACGCTCGCCCCAATCTGGGCTCCAGATAGTAAACGATCCAGAGCCGTCTATCCCAGAAACAGCACTTGAGAAAACAGTGTCAATGATGCCCATCTTCTTCAGGGCGACAAGCCCGCCGGCGTCGCTGTATCCTGATATTGAAAAGGTGTAGTTTTGCCCTTGTTTCCACGCGTCCGAGTCGGGGCTGTCGCGGTCATATATGGTGACGGTAGGTTGCTTTTGGCCGTGCTTCCATTGTTTTCGGAGGTCTATTGCAAAGGCGAGGCCGGCGATGCCAGCACCAGCTACAACGATGGTCTTGCCAGCCAGGAAATGCCGACCTTGGTCAGACTTGGCCATGGTAATTTCCTCTGCTGGCAACTGGGAGTATCCTCGGGGTGTGTAGCCCTTGAGCTCAAGGGATTTAGATCGGAATAGTTTCTTTGGGTGTAGAGGAATGGGCAAGGACAAAGAGGTCTTTTATACAATGACGGAATGGCTATGTCTTCGAGAAAGGGTCCAGAGTCACCAAGAAAGGCATTTCGTCAAATCAGCAGATACCGCCGCATGAAGTTACGCACCCGAGGTGTAGGGTTACACCAGTAAATTCATTGGACGCCAGACATGTCCCCTCACAGCAGACAAGGCTCCAGTTATGTGCCAAGGATGAGTGTTAGTTAATGTGCAAGTTTCGGGGATGGATAATACATATATGACTACTGAAACTCTACTTGAAAAGAGGCATTGATAATTCACTACAGGGCTATACGGGGGGCCTCGACAGCCTCGTAGAGAGACGGATACAATGTTGGACCCGCGAGCCGCCAGGTCAGACTGGACGAAGGAGAAAGAATTGCGACGCCCTTTAGTATAGAGACTCGACAAGACCGGAGACACATTGGACACCCTTGTCTTTTTGGCGCTCAAGTGAATCCGTGGTAACGGTTCGGGAGCGGGACCTTCAGATGACAGATGCCGTCTATGTGTGGTGCATACACGTACTTCCTAATTGGGCACGTTCTAAACTCGTCCGCCATTCGAGTCGTGCCCCGAAATATTTACCAGCATGTCTCTTATTCCTCGCCGTAGTACCATGTCAACGTGGCTTTGTGGGTCGTACGTTAAGCGAAATGGAAGCTTTAAAAAAGAACCTAGTCCGACAATCACGGTAATGGAAAATAGGGTATTAGAAGCGCCACGTTGAGATGCTGCCAAACTCAAGGGTTAGGAACTATATCCAAGAAGAAATAATTTTTGCACACTGGACACAGATGTCCAGCATTCCCTTCCTCTCCGCATGGTCGCGTTACATCGTGAATAAATATGTGTAGAAGGTGGGGTCCTTGTCATTAATACAGAAGTAGGCCTCCAAATTAAACAGAGGCCATTCACAACTGTCAACGGCCCGGTGCAGCTCCGATCCCAGATCCATCGACATGAAGTGGCCAGTCATCTGCCAGTATCTACGATTCTATACCAGTAGCCATAACAGCGTCGTTTCGCTTCACGGATCACGCCCGTATCTTATCTCCATGCAAACGCGACGATGGTGTTTCTCTGCATGCAAGTCCTGGGTCGGACCACAGTGATAAACCAGCAGCTTTCTAGAGCGTATACCCAAATAAGATCATCGTATATTTTGTCTAATATGTCAGCGGAATCATATACTCTAGGTTCTTATATACATTGTCATGCAGAAAAATGTACACGCCTCCCCGCCACTCGCTGAAACCGTATAGGAAGGCCTCGTGGAATCGAAATCAGAAAGGATGCGGTATGCTCGTTTCCGCCACCGGATTCAAGGACGCTTGACGCTTCTTCCTGACACACAACCAAACTCTTGTTCCTATACAGGCGTGCCGGGAGACCCGTCGTCCAAATTATAGTCAAACGCAAAGTCTCCAAACTGAGACTTCATCTTGCCCGCGCACGACTCTAGATTCCATGCGAAAGCGGCATCCGAGATGGCAATATCCGCAGCGCCAAAGTCATAGGCCACAAGTTTATCGCGCAGTTCGACGCGCGGGAAGCCGTTGTATGAGATGAGCGCCGACTTCCACCAGACGTGCTTGTGGTTCTCTGGCGGCTCGTCGCCGGCACCCATTGAGAAGCGGAAATAGTGCGTCCCGATGGCGCCGTCCTTGTTGTACACGGCCTTCATGTGGTTGCCCTCCTTGGGGATGTCCTTCCAGAGGCGCGCGTCGTATTTGCCGTGGGCAGAGACACACCCGAACTGCGGCACGCCGTTTCTCGTCCACACTTGCAGGTGCTCCCAGTCGTACTGGTGGCCGATGCAGATGCGGTCGCCAATGTCCTTTTCGAAGAAGTAGTCGTATAGGTACGCGCACCAGCCGTTGTTGCAGCGTTGGCGGGAGTAGACGTTGCTGTGGTCCAGGTCGTATTCGTCCCGGCAACCCTCCGTGTTGGTTTCATGGCGGGATCGGCCTTGGTCGATGTGCCCGTCGGGGCCGATGGCAGGCACGTTATAGCAGCTGTCTGTGTCGAAGTCGAGCGCCGGCTGGAACTTGAGATCTTCTGCCGTTGCTCTTTGGGGCAGAGGGGGAGGAGGGTTCTCGTCGAATCCCTTGTCGTCGCAGAGACCCTGGATTACAGCTTGTCTGGACCCCGGGGGAACGACGAGGTCTGGATGGCCTTGGACGGTTAAGGAGTCATTCAAGGCTAAATTTCTGGTTGGGAATTGTCTTGTTGCAAGGGCTAGTGCGCCGGGAATGACAAACAGAGACCTCATGGTGTGCATTATGCGCCGTGAAAACGTCTCAACTGTACCAATGATGTACAACTGGACGAGTAGTAGTAAATACGAAAGAAGTACCAGTACAAGTAGAATCAGAAGCAAGTGAAGGCAAGAAGCTTGTCAAAACTAAAGTGACACAATTGGCAAAGGAGACGGGTATGACCCCTTAAATTCACGACGACTTCAGTCTTCCCAAGGAATCTGTGTCTCGCGATTCTTATAGAAGCGCGTGCTGGGCCCCCGTGACAACAAAATACAACTTTCAGTATATACAATGTCTCAGGGGGTAACAATGGCTTGTATCGGCGACGGCCTCGTTGTAACTCGAGGTAAGCCGCGCGCAAGCACGCCTTTATGCACCAATTTGCCTCCCATGATGTGTTTTAAGCATGCAACCTCGTGGCGACTTAAAGACGGCGGGCTGATATAGCGTCGGTTCGTGGCCAGGGTTCAGAGATCTGCTGGCGAACAAGAGTGACGACCCGAGATTCCTGGCCGACCTACGGTGCAGACAAAGTCCCATAATCCGCCCGATATCAGCGACATCTGCACGGGCCGAAATCCTAGTATAGCGCGTAGTTCATGATAAGGGTGGTTCGGTGCAATCCCACCGGGGTCAGCTCGGCTTCATTGTGGTGATCTGCAGGGCCGGCAAGCCAGTCCCTTTGTTTGCAACGGTATTTGTCGTGAAGTGGAAGGTGAAGCGTCTGGTGTCTTTGGCCTAATTCCAATAGCCCTGCAACTCTGGGTTGACCGGAACCAATGAGGTAGCCATTTCGTCAAGCGTGTTCAGCTGACTCGGAGCGTTGCAATCCAGAGGAGGGCCAGTCGCATATCGAGCCTAGGCCGAGTCCGTGTCCAATACTTGTCCAACCCCTGGAGAGTAGCTTACCACTGCCTTGGAAGCGCGAATTGAGTGCCAAGAGTGCGGCTGCGAACTCGTGATCGGTTGGTGTATGAGCGAATGATGTGACCGAAATGGAGTGTCAGTCGACTAGGAGAGATGGACAAATATTAGTTGGAGCCCAAGGTGCCGGCTGTCGCCCCTGAACAAAATGACAATCTCACGAGGATAGCTTCACCGAATAGCCGAATTCTATCCCAACGATGGGCACAACCCAAGGCGAACAAGAAGGGCCGATGTAAACGTTGAAGTTGTGCCGGCTCGGAACGGCTAGCAGTTGGACTCCTGCGCAAGGTCCCCCGTTGACATTCTCTCTGCATAAATGCGAAATGCCAATCCATTTTCATCGTATTTGTCTCCCTGGGCAAACATTTGGGGATATCAGAACGACAAGTCTGGAATGGCACAGACTGCCGCTTTGCTGTCAACAGGTCAACTGGCCTGATATGGCTCGGTTCCAAAGTTTCGTGAAACCACCGAACCAATCTGGTGCACTGGATTGCTCACCAGCAGCCACTGGCACAGCCCCAAATCCGCACCCACCACATCCAACAACAAATCCAGAAATCCGCACATACACCCCGCATTCACACAGGGTCCACCACCCCGCCAAGTTGGCAAAAAAAAATAACCATCGTTCGATGCTAAACTCTGCCAATGTGTCAACTCTGCCCCTTCGTGAGAGTTTTGTACCGCGGCCGCAAGGGACTGACATAGTCCCGAAGCAGAGAGAACCATGGCCTCTGAACTCGCCGCCGCGCCAGTCCTATCCACGCCCGACGACCACCTTCTCGACGTGCCCGCCGCCGAATCGCTGCCAACGTCAACCCTGCCAGACGATGAACTGCGGTCGACGTACGAAATCGGCAGCACGGCCAGCCAAATCCGCCAGGCGGGGTGGAGGAGGATTGCGCTCCAATTCCCAGACCACATGCTCGTCGACGCGCCGCGCGTCGTGCAGCTGCTAGACGCCCAGCTGGCCGACGACACGGCGCGGATTCACATCCTGGCCGACACGAGCTACAGCGCGTGCTGCGTGGACGAAATCGCCGCGGAGCACGCCGACGCAGAGGTCGTGGTGCACTATGGCAGGGCGTGTCTGAGCCCGACGAGCCGGCTGCCCGTCATTCACGTCTACACGTCGCGCGGGCTCGACCGCGGCGCCGTCGTCGCAAAGTTTGGCGCCGAGTTCGCCGACAAGACGAGCAAGGTGGTCGTCATGGCGGACCTGACGTACCAGGACCACGTGGACGCCGTCGTGCGCGGGTTGAAAGAGTCCGGGTATACAAACGTGCTGGGGACCAGCGTGGCCCGGGATCCCGCGGCCGTGATACCCAACCGGAGGATCGAGGGGCCAGAAATGACAGACGAGGCCGCCCGGTCGCATGCGCTGTTTCACATTTCCGACCCGCCCACGTCGTTGTTGTTGGCGCTGCAGACTCGTTTCGCGTCGCTGCACGTGCTCTCGACGGACTCGTCGGCGGCGGTGACGGTCGACAACCCGACGTTGAGGGCGGCGGGTCTTCTGCGTCGGCGGTTCGCCCGGGTCCTGTCCCTGGCCTCCGCCGGCGTGGTGGGCATCTTGGTCAACACCCTCTCCGTCTCGAATTACCTGGCTTCCATCGACCTGCTGCGGAAAAAGATTGCGCAGGCCGGCAAGAAGAGCTACACGGTTGTGGTGGGCAAGCTGAACCCGGCCAAGTTGGCAAACTTTGCAGAGATACAAGGCTGGGTGGTCGTTGGCTGCTGGGAGAGTGGACTGATCGAGGACGACGTTGGATACTGGCGGCCCGTCGTCACGCCGTTTGAAATGGAGGTCGCACTCATGAGCGAGGAGGAGAGAATATGGGGTGGCGAATGGTGGGGAGGCATTGAAAAGCTCAAGCAGGAAGCCGAGGCTTCCCAGGGGGGCCATGCCTCGCAGGGACAAGATGATTCTGCGCCAGCAGAGGAGGACGACGTGGATGGTGGCGTGGAAGGGGAGGAATCCCTACCGCCGCAGTTTGACTTGCGGACAGGCAAGCTCATTAGTCACAGCCGGCCGATGCAGCTCACTCTGCGGGGTTCTGGCACGAATAATAATGGCAGCGAGGGTATCGAGGCTGGAAATACTAACCGAGGACAGTCCAACGCTGTGACAAAGAGAGTTGCTGGCGAATTGGCCAGTATCAACGGCGTAGCCAGTCCTGGCGCTGACTATTTGCGGTCCAATAGGACATGGCAAGGCTTGGGGACGGATTTCGACCAAGAAGCGAGTACGTTGATAGAGCAAGGTCGTAGTGGAGTTGCAAGGGGTTATCATGTGGGTGAGGATGAATCACGGCATTAGGCGACTGTAGTTTATGATACCAAGGATATTCGAGACGTTTCAATGAATCCATTGCATAAATGAGACATTTGACATTGCATATGCGCCAACGTTTATGTTTACATTCGATAACGCGGCAAAGAAAAGCATGGGGTATCCAAGCATCCACACAAGATCCATACACCGACTATAGACAAATATGTAGTCCAGAACGAACAAAATGCACCGCAGACATCTGTTTTGCGCGCAATACCGAATGTTGCTTCCGAACTATAAGCGGGCCCTCAAAGGCGTTTCGTTGACGCGAGAAGACAAGAGCGAGAGGGGAGGAGGTTGTTGCCAAACAAAGGGGATCGATAGCAGTAGTCAATTAGAACATTCCACCATATCCAGGTCCAGTCTCCCAGAACACAGCCACAGAGCATCAAACACAAATGGATTTCTCTCGGCAGTCCTTCGTCAGACGCCAGACATGAGACGCAACATGGATGTGTATGGAACCGTCAGCTGCCGCACTTGCGGCTTTGCATTGCCATACATGGTCCATACTGGAGCAAGCAAGCTGCGGGGCGGCGGTTGGTTGCTTCGTTTTGTCAAACTCCAGGCACGGCATGCTCTGAATTCATGATTCATTCGCCAAATGGGCTCATCTATTGGCCGCGGCAAATCTCATGACTCCAGTGGCAGGTTATTGTAAGCGCATGTGGCACAGGACTCCTCAAACGTAGACTCGGCGGTGAGAATGCGGGCTTCGGTGGCTGCTGTGGCGGGATCCACCAGAACGGCTTCGGCTACGGTGACGATGGCTGTGACGGCTGGAGTGGTGGTGGCGGCGCTCTACAACATATGCGCCGCGGCCTTCGTAAGCCAGGTGGTCGCCGTGGCTAAAGGCGGCAAGAGCCGTGGTCGCGAAGAAGATGATGTTCATAATGGCAAACGCCCAGCTGGCCTTGAGCATGGCGCAGGGCTTGTCCGTCTCCCAGCCCCAGTTGGGGACGGGGATGTGATTCGGAGCAAACCATACGGAGCTTGAGTCGGGGTTGGAGCAGCTTGCGTCTGCAATTCCTCGCATTTCATAAACGCCGGCAATGAGAGCACCCATGAAGCCAAGGTCGACCAGACATATGAAGCGAGCGTTGGCAGACGAGCGGTGGTAGCTGAAGAGGGTGAAGACGGCCCAGGCAAGGGCAAGAACGACAAGAATAAAGAGGATGAGGATTGAGTCGGGGGTCAAGGCATTGTGGCTGATGAAGATGTTGATGAACCAGGCGAGCATGCCCATCGGCGGAATCTGGAGACGCGGGTTAGCTTAACTAGCGGACGCGGATGGATCATGAGGCGATTTCAAACATCGGCGGCGGCTTACCAGAGTGACGATTTGAGAGATGCGAGTGCACACAAAGACTAATGCGAATATCATGATGGGCAAATGGCTCCAAGGGACCCAAGTTGCGTCTGGAGGTTTGGATGACGACACAAAACAACGTGGCAAGGTGGGATGTCAGGAATGCACAGAGAGAAAAGAATCAAGGCGGGGGGGGATCACCGACGAAAGCAGACCTATTATAACAATCGAAGTCGATCTACTCGGTGAAAACAATAAACTAACTAATTGGATGGGCTGGTTGGCTGGGAAAGGCAGGTTGCTCTAAATGCAAGGGCCAGAATGCGCATAGATTCGCCAGACCTTGTCTCGTCCTGGCGGCCTGCATGGATCAACGATACAAAAGAGGTGGTTGGGCGTGCGATGGGATCCACCCGCTCATGCACGTTTTCTCTGGTAAAAAGAAGCATGTACATACAATACGAAGCAAGCTCCAGCTGCGCGCACCTGGGTCAGGCCGGCCGGAAGCACCGGGCATCGTGCATTGCTTTAAAGAGTAAACGCAATTGCCAACTGCCAAGATACTCAGAGTCGATTCAGCGAAAGATGACTGTCAAGGTACGGAGTACTTTGCGTCCACATGGCAACTGTTGCGGCCCAAGCCTGGGACAAGCTTGGAGCTCGAGCTCAGGGCTGGCACCAGCATCAACCTTGGGGCTTCGGGTGTGATGGGTGGTCCGGCGGGGTAAGATGACGCACGTCCGCCCAAAACCAGGGAAGGAACTACGGAGGTTTGCCGTTGGGATGCTCAGTGAACAACAGGGAAAGAGGCACCGGGACGGAGCCTGACTAGACGCAGTCAACAGATCAAGTGCATGTATCAGATATACTAGTCAATATGCATTGCTTTGCACCTTCCAATGTTGTTCCTGGAGGTGTTGTTCCCGGAGCACCAGTGAAGCCACAAGTGCACTCAATATTGAAGCGCCTCGTCTTGTTGATGCAGTAACCCGCTCTACCATCCAGGTGACTAGGCCCCTGGTTTCAGTGGGGCCATGTCCCAAAGTCCAGAGAGGCTGGCGCATTGAAAACCGGGAGGCTGGAAGGGCCAGGCGCCACAAGCCGGCAAAACATTGAAACAACCCCAGTGCCGCTTGTTGTACCTCAGAAGCTTCTGTGGGGCAGAAATCGATCTGTGACGAAATGATCCAGGAACAGGAACATGCAAGTCATCGTTGCTGTTGTTTTTATAACCAAGTACGGAGTATTATTGTTATTACCCACTCATAAAAAACTGGGGTTCGGTCAGTTCCATTCTGCTCATGTTCGAAGGTCCGGCTAATAATGAAGAGAGTTCTGTCCAGCTCCATGCAAGTGCTTGAATCTTGCTTGTCTCGTCTCATTAACCTCCCTGGCGATACAATACAGTCTGCGGCAGAGTGCGAATCACGATTCACTTATGAAATGTAGTATATAAAGTATAGGGCGTGATAGCCATGTATATGGTCCAGTCAATACTTTTCGTCCGACACGGTCAACGTGCGCCGTCTCCAACATGGATCAACGCCGGGGTGGCGCTCACTGTCTATCAGAACACCATCGTAATAAACATTGATCAGTCGTGTCGTTGGAAAACTCAAAATCAGAACCAGCGGGGCTTTGATTCTGCGTTATATGTCGACGGTACATTGATAGATTTGCCCCGAAGCTCTTTGCTCTAAGCTGGCCAATTGGGTAGCCCTAACCCTAACCCTGTGATATGCTATCTGGGAAAGTTAGTAGCTGGCACCCAAGTACAAGCTTCTACTCCGTACGCTTCCAAAAATAATAGTCCCAACTCAGAACTCTTCAGGAACCAGATTAATCCCTAGATCAGACACCACACAATGAAACCCGAATGGGCACACAAACCGGGGCTCTTGTGACAACCCAGTGGTCCTGTTAGAATAACCCGCAGAGAAGCAGAGAAATAATTCACGACATAACCTACCAGACCGCCTTTCATATAATTTCGCGACTTGCACATCAATCGTCAGGGCCTTATCGTGCAACACCAGGCACCGAAGTCCCGGGCCATTTCTGCCAGGGAAGGTATGCGAGGGCTTCTTTTAGTGGTTGTTCAGCTGCCCTTCCGGCACACAACGTAATTGGCTGCCCATCGCGAGTGAAGCGATACCATCCTGCAATGGGAACAACGGCCCCGAGAAGCCTAAACGCCACCTTTTGGACGCGCCTCGTCGGTGGGCGGCCTTATGGCGTTGACGGCCAGGCAGCGAAGCGCCACAGGCGTGAAAAATAAAAATCGTGAACTCGGGCATGTATATGAATTCTGGTGAGTTATGCTATGCCGGCTCTTGTCAAGCTGGTTACTCTTGAAATCATACAAGACACACACTTGAGGCTTTGGAGCGGCGTTGGTTTTCTCATCATTCCATTAGCTCAGAGGACTCTACGTCGACACGACCATCATTCTGTTGCACACTCTTATATCCTCAAAGTTAACCTTACCGTCATGGCCACCGCCACGTTTGCGGAACCACTGCTCACCATTTCCGCCATGTCTCTCTTTACCGAGGACCTGGCGGCCTCCAAGGCCTTCTATACGGATGTTTTTGGCGCGCGCGTGCTCAATGAGGATGCCGAATCGTGCGCCGTCAAGTTCAATAACCTCATTATCAATTTGCTTGCGGCTTCTGCAGGGGAGGAACTTGTGCAGCCGGCCAAGGTTGCGCCGCCCGAGGCTGGTAAGCGGTTCCAGCTGAGCATCTGGGTGGATGATCTTGATGCTGCCATGGCGAAGCTGCGGTCCAAGGGGGTCACCTTCTTGTCGGGCCCAGAGGTGAAACCTTGGGGGTTGAAGACTGTGACGTTTGATGATCCGGCCGGACACAACTGGGAGATTGCGCAGGATGTTACCAAATAAATGTTGAGTGTGTCGAGAATGACATCACAGTCGGCATATCTCGGAAGCACGACTCCATGTTGAAGAAAAATAAAAGGGGGGAAAGAAAAGACCACATCGAATATTATTTGTAGCCGAATCTTTTGAAATCTTGAAGCCCTGACAAAACTGTCCCCCGAAGTCATGAACCAAAAAAAGGCCTCCGTTACCCATTTCATCGCATAAATTTCATGTCCAGACTTGCAACGTCCACTCTACCAACTTCTCATGCCTAATATTGTTTCGCCACGGAACCAATTCGAGCGAGGGTATCAATCTCCTCCGTACACTAGCTCCAAAGTACAATTACCAAGCACTGCACGAACCATATCCAAGGAAAAAGAGAAGACAAAACAAAAAACCAAAATGCGCAGACGCCATACTGATTATCGACAATGTTTCTGTTTGACATTGACTAATTAAATTGCGTCATAATCGCTCGAGATCGGCGTACAGTATGGTGTGTACTACGAGTTTCGTTCAGGATGTTAGGCTCCAGGATAAGTCTGAGCGGTCTGAGTGGTCATTTGGTTGCCGGTGCTGTCGGCATTGGCGCCCTTCCTGAAGCCGTGTTTGAGAAGGGCGAGTAGCTCAAAGACCGTAAGGGTTGTGAACATGGCCCAGATGAAGAAGCCAAAGGCCGTAGCAGCCTGAGCCGATCTGTAGGTGCTGCAGAAAGCATTATTGCCGCTGCAGGTACCAGCACCAAGGAAAGCGGCAAGGGCAATGGAGCCGGCAAACCAGAAGAGAGTGCTGATACCCAATAAAGCTAGAGCAATGATGCTATGGTACAGGGAAGACAGGAAGCGAGGGAAAACGCCAAGGTAGATTAGGACAAGGATGGTCCAGATGGTGTTGAAGAGCATGAAGTTGACCTGTGACGGAGAGCTGGAGTAGTGCGAGTAACCCCAACCATAGTAGGCGCTACCACTCGTCGAATTAACAACTGTGAAATGGTCACAAGTGAGCAGGACGGTTCAAAAATGGCATCTCCCAAGTCGAGTCGACTCCATGGGGATATTACGTACCATATGCTAGAAGGCCCAATGAAATGATGTCGAACAGAGCAATGCCGCCGAAGAGGGCCAGCTTGAGAATGCCGGGAATCTCCATTGTGCGTGGTTGTACGAATTATTCACCTGAGGACGAAGTGATTAGATCATGGGGGCTTTTGTTGGGATTGGCGCGAAAAGAGGGCAGGGCAGCTCGAGACGAGGACGGTGAAATTTACCAGAGCAGTACACTTGATGCAGGGCGATATTCCAGTTCTTATTGCGGGAAGGAGCGGCCGACGCGACTTATGATGACAGCAGACGTCGACGGATGGATGCGAATGGCGCGTTCAGATAGCTTGAGGAAGGAAGGATGCGGCAGCTAGTGGTACGACTGTCATGCAGCGAGGGCCCTGCTGGTCTTATAGCCGGTTGCAAGTGGGAAAAGAGGATGTGACGAGGATTCTTCAGCTTTTTGAAATGTGACGTGCGAGAGAATGCGACTGACCGGGGTCAGGCTGCAAGGAGGGGGGCAGTGTCCTGTAGCTGTCAAGCTTCAGATGTCCCAAGGTTTGCAAGCTTAAGACACAGGCTTCCGACGAGCGACAAGCCAGCCCACGGGAGCCACATGTGCAGGCCGGTGGCGCTAACAGCGAAAAGGCGAATCTGAACGCCTCGAACCACTCCCTCATCATCCATTCGTGAGTATTTCACCACAGAAGCCGAGCCTAAACGATGTGGCGCCATACTGTTTGCCAGCTCGAGACCCCATCAAACAATCACGCCGGAGAAGTACTAAGGATTGCCATCACTCATTGTCCCCTTTCTCCTTGGCTGTTCACGAAGCTGACACGCCCCTTTCCGACCACAATTTAGGCTGACTGAAGCTGAACGAAATCCGATGTCGCCCCCGACTGTCGATGAACCTGCTTAGATTGCAGAGCGGGACTGAGAAGAAGAACAAGGAGCTCAGGCTCAGCCTGTTTTCTGCGGCGTCATCAGCTTGTCCCCTACCCACTTTGACGCAGGTCTGCTGTTGTACTACTAACAACCCCAGCTCTTCCCGACAAGCCTTGGCCAGCGCCAACGCCAAACGCAAGCCGAACCAACAAAGAGGTCGAATATGCAGGGAAAGACAATGGCTTGCATGTCGATGGCAGTTGTCTCAAATCCGCTCTGCTGCTGAAAGAAGTCGCATTTGAGATTAGAATATGTAAGGCACCTGGTACTTGGTCTATCGGGATAACGGCAAACGATGGACCGTCAGGAACCACACCAGTCGACACCACCGTGCTTCGCTCCACCGCATCAGCCCTACGTACATACATACATTCTACGTATGTACTATTAGACACGGACCTTTTCCCTGACCGCTAAAACCGACGACGTGCGACGTGTTGAGGTCCGAGAATATCTCACGTGGGTTAGTGAGTGCCCCCGCTTGTATTGCACTCATCTGGCTAGACAAGCGCCGAGGCAGTCCAAGTGGCGTCGACATGTTCAGACCAGGCTGTTTGCTGTGATCCGAGGCCTTCACGCGGCAATCATGGCGCAGCGCGCCCGGGACGCACTGGTGATGCCCCAGTGAGGTCATGAGACAGGGATGGCTGGCAGCAATGCGCCTTTGTAGTCGTTGAGCATGCCGTTACCGGATCTGGACCGCTCTTGTTTGTTCCTGTCAATCATTCCACGCCGACAAGGACAGAGACATGTTGCAGCTTTTGAAACGCTCACCATGATAAATTTGCTATCCTCATGCAAGCATGTTGCGCAATGGCCGCGGCAGGGAGTGAAGGTCCATTGTGAAAGTCGATGACAGAACCAAGGGCTAATTTGGGGTCCAGCCCCTCCCATGTCATGATGTGGAACGGAAAGGATCCATGTCGGCTTGAGGACCCGGAACCCAAATTCATCCCTACTGTACTCTTGACATAACCCGCAAGATTACGTCAAGAGAACAAAAGTTCGTGCTTTCGATGCAAAGCACACCCGGTTCGGAATGCCCGAGTCTGCCTGGCCGTTGGCGGAAGGAGCCGCGTCGCGCTGTTCCTCAAATCCCGAACCTGAGAAGTTCAATCTTGTTCCGTTTGAGCGCAGACCGAAACTCGTCCCGGGTCATGTAGCGGGTGAGGGAGCGAAAGCCGTTGGAATAGGTGCTAGTATCAGATTGGTCATTGGGACAGCTTCTCGTCGTCTTAGCGTGAGGCTGCTGGATGACTTGACGAAGCTGAGATGAACTAGCACTTGCTATTTCCCAGCATGGACCCTCGATAATTCGGAGCAGCATCTGCCCGGATATTATTATGGCCAATGTTCTAAATTTACCCAGTAAACTACTCAAGTACTAGTATGCACTTGCCAGCAAATGGGCTACTGGGCTACTAGGGACATTTCACACGTGCCAAACGGAGCACAAATGACGGCGTTTGTGGCCAGCAACGGACACCAGCGTTCTAGTTGGCATCGTGGTACCCCGCAATCGGTCCCCAAGGTCTCAGTGCTGGTAGTGTCCGGACGGCCTGTCTGCCATGGACCTCGAGCACACGTGAGTGGCTCCAATTGTCGGCGTGTTACGAGGTCGAAAACCCAGTGCCAGAGGCAGAAGTAGACAATGGGAGGTGGTTTCTCACGGTTCAACGCATTGCGAACCATCCTCACACCTTCTGGGTACATCTATATGGCCGTCACATTGACTGTTGGATAGTCTGCTTGGCTGCTCGATTACACTGCACCCATGAGTTTTTCACAACCCGTAGCCGAGAAGAAGTATCGAGGACCGAGAGTTCCATATTACTAGCAATATATTATATTCAAGAACACGGCTGTTATATCTAAACAGTCTCCCTGTATCAAAGAACCTCAAATTGCAAGGGATTCTATAAACCACAGGCGATTCCATCATATATCTCCTCAACCCATCGTATTGGCCCTCTAAGCCCCTTGTCCTCGTGAGTGCTGATAATTGAGACATGGATGTCTGTATCTCGGCAAAGCAGCCGTCATGAGTTGCGAGATAGGCGAGATAGGCCTGTCAAGTACGGCCAGGTTCAGTTCCATATATCCTTTATGGAGACACTAAACGATATATTCATGCTTGGCGTTGTATACGGCGTCACGGCTTCTCCATCTACTAGGCACTATCTACAGCATCCCCGTAGCTAATATACGGAGCTGGTGCTACTTTGATTATCAGTAGGCTGTGGCAAAGCCCGGCTGCTTCAATATGCTGCGTCACCTCCACGGTTCTGTTCTTCTGCACTACGTACACCATGAATGGCGGAAACTAGGGAAAGAATATGCAGACGCATCTTGTCCCTCGCTCCATGCAGCACAACCACAGAGCTTATCAATGCAAACGTGCCCTTTATTCTCCACGGGTGGCCAAAACCCTCTGCTGGTAATCTCCCGCCTCAGGGGCAGACACGCACTCCAGGCTGATGCTACACGCCGCTAACTACATTGCCCTCTATTTCACGCGAATTGTAGTTCTGGATTCGCAATAGCCGCTCTCGCTTTCCACACTTGCGCCAAGTCGGCCCTGATGGCGGAAGAAACAGCATATGCGATGCCTATGTGGTCCAAAAGTGCGCCGACTCGGTCGCGCTGCCATTGGCGGCATGATCGTGCGCCGGCAATTCTCAAAGGGAACAGGAACAGGACCGGCGACAGGGCCGTGTGATTCAGTCCAGTATCCGTGAGGGCTAGAATGGCGCAGACGTGTTGCGCTACCGTGGCTTGGTCGAGAGCCGGGACTGGCAGGTTACGTCGCTGCCAATGGGGCAGCTCGTAGTCGAAAACGCCAGAGAGGTAGATGCTGATGGAGGCGTAGAAAACACGAGCCAAAAGCGTACTTGGGTCTGCGGCACAGTGTCTGATGTTCTCTGGGTCCTTGTCTAAAGTAGAGGATGTGCTGGGTGACGGGAGCGCGGCATCTGGAATATAGGCTGCGCTCCAGCTGCGCAAGGCTTCGCGGAGAAGATGTCCGTCTTGTGATATGGCCATGGCATCGGAATCGGATGAAGGCATATCCTGAGAAGAGCCTTGTCCTCGTATGAACGCTTCCGCTCTGCTTTAAAGTTAGTGCGTGGGTTTTCTTTCCCGGGGAGGTAGAGCAGGGTAAACGATAACACGGGCGTACTATGTGGTTACAAAGGGTTCTCACAACTGACCTTACACGAAGACTCGAACACATGACCATGATGTCTAGTAGCGAGTCCAACGAGGTCCATGTGTTTTTGCTTCCGGCGAGATTCTTCTCGTCGGTCAACATGTCTCGCGACAAGGAGACCCATTCCGGCTCCGTAAGAAAGGTCGGCTCGTTGAACAGGATGGTCCTGCTGATTTCGAATATTCTCGCCTGTATGAAGAAGGCAAATCCGGGGCCGGACCGGCATGAGGTCGGGCCACTATGCTTGAGCGCCATGGATGTGCCGTGGATGATGTGCTGCTGCCACCCGTGGCCCGTGGCATCGTTCATGAGCTGCGTTCATCAATATCTCTCGTTTCTTTGCATCGAACGTAGGTCAAACTGCCTACCTCGAAAACTCCAAGAAAGAATGTCGTCCACAGAATGCAAACACGCTGGTTTTCGTGCCTCGGCAGACGTGGGCTGGTGCCTAGGTTCATGCCATCAATCGCTTCTCGTAGGCCTTGGATGGAATACGCGTAATGCTGGAAAGCGATTGACAAGGCCTCCCGCTTCGAGGACGCACGCTGATGGTTCAATTTCCCCGCGTACATTGCACCGACGGCCAAGATTGCGTTGAAGAGGTGGCTTCCTTTGCGAGAGTGTAGGTCAGCGAGCTGCTTGACCTCGTCGCCGGCGGTGCGCACGCGGCCGGTGAAATTGTTCGCCCTGGTGAAGGCGTCGAAGAAGCTCATGTAGTTGCATGTTTGGTCTGTGAGGCATTCAGGACGCGCCAAGTAGCTCCTTCGACGAGATGTGCTCTGCGACCAGTTTGTTGCCGTCTTCTGCTTGCCTCTCTCGACGAGGATCAACGTGGCGGCAGCATTCCGCGTCGGGTATGCGCATGCGACGCGTCGACGAGCGCAATTGCTACAAGGAACATGGCCAGAACACTTGGTCGTGTGAGATGCGTCCCAACGCAAGACGAGGCTGCG